TTCATTCATAGCATCAAATTTTAATAAAAATTAATCGTTATAAATTATGAAACTAGAAACTACTTTCACATTGTTACAAGTTCTCGGAGTTTTTCCAGTTGTATTGGAGAAGAATATATTTTTTGCCAAAAATCGTAAGTATTTTGGAAGTCCACTGTACCACACGAATAATAAGTTATACATTTTTAATACTAGGAGTGTACCTAATGTAACACGTCAAAATACATTTAGAGTTGGTGAATTAAACACAATAAAATGCCTTAAATAGGTATATTTATGATAGCTCTATGACGAATTCCAGGCTAGATTTTGTTTTGTAAATCCGAACTAAGATGCTAAATTGACAGAAAAAATAGACTGAAAAGGAGTGAATACTGTACACTCAATAAATAAAAAAAATTTAACAATCTTTTGTCTTAGATAAAATGGTGCTGTTGATTTGAAGTACATTAGCTGATGTTGTTGAAAAATATAATTATGTTGTTTTTGAGGTACTAAAGTAGATTATGTTGTCAAAGTAGATATTGTTGTTAAAGTTTTTGAAGTAGGTACATATACTTACCGATATATAAATAAAGGTTTATTGTGTCTATATAAGGTTAATTGCCTATAAATAGATGGTTACTAGGTAGATGCTGAGTTTTAAGTTGATTTTTGTTGAAGTATACACTGAAAACTTCTCTTGTCTGGTTCTACTAACAATACACAGACAACTATATTTTATTGTGATTTCTTAAACAAATTCAATGACATCACAAAAACTAAGGGGCAAGGACACGGCTTTCAAGCAAGTCATGCTATACAACATTAATTAAATGTAATTGTTTTCAGGATCACAGCCACGGCTGAGAAAGCTGCTCATATGTTGCACTATTGGTCAGTTTGCTCTGACAGCTTCTAGACTTAACAGAATCGTCCTCATGATGTCTGCAGCCCCCCCAGACATGGTTTTGACCATGGTCATAACCGGGTTTTACCAACTCTCCGACACAGTTACCATGCTTCTACCTCTGATCAACATGAAACATTTCCATAAATGTATCCAACTAGGGAGGAAGGTTATGGCATCGAGTGGTGGTCGTTTGCCGAAATGTTCACGTGCTTTCTTAAATTTCTTGTTCCAGAACATACAGTGTATTTTAATCATAGCACAATTCAACTTCCTATTAACGCGTTTGGGGATTCACAGGTAACTATTACAATTTAAGGATTGATTACAAATCTATAGTTATTTGTGCAACTAGTGAGAAAAGTAAGCAATTGACTCACTCGAGAGAAATCCTTACTCACGAGCCGTAGGCGAGTGAGGAATGGTTTCTCGAGTGAGGCAATTGTACTTTGAACTCGAGTTGCACATTATACTTTTCCTACAGTTACCATAAAACAAATAAATTGGTGAAGAAACATAACCTATTTTTACACAGAAGTGAACTTTTAATATAACATTTAATGTGAAGTGACAAATACAACAGTACAACAGCTGACCAGCTGATTTACTGCCAGTGATGCCAACGTATTTCGGGCGCATACGACATTGCCTGCATGTTACGCGCTCACTATTTCGTGCCTTCACGTTGCAAATCTGGAGTGAGACAAAGTAATTAGAGTGAGACAATGTTAACATTGTCTCACTGATGAGCGAATTGGCCACTTTGCTTTCTCAAATCAGTGAGAGAACATGTACATTGTTAGGTAACTGTAGGAAAAATTAATTTGAATGTCACCTAGGTAGGGTAGTGTTAGCAAATGTTGATTTTTTAAATACAGTACAGTAGATATTATAGTGTAGTCTTTATCTTATGTAAACCATTATCACAATCATTGTATCACTATTGAGACAGAGACCAAATGTTGGTATTTTAATATACAACAATGAGTGTACAAGGGAGTGAGATGTTTTTTGTATCTTTGTTGTATCGAAGAAAATCTAACAGTTAAAGACACCATGCCTAACATTTTCGAGAGCACCCATTTAGTCCCATAAGGTGGTCCTCAACCTGAATTTTAATTGGCCAGGTGTCCAGAATTCATGCCAGCAAACCTGCGTACCTTAAACCAATTCTGTGATCCTTGTAAATAATTATATAATGAAACAGACACCTAATCACAGAATACGATTCATACTTAGCGGGGGCATAAATTTTCTTTCACGACGATTTATAATACCTACCATGACAAGACTTTTTCCATAGGGGTGGGGACCAACTATAATAGTAGAGAATGAAGTAAAAGACATGACGTTGATTTGATAATATCAGACTTTAGTTAGCTCACTTTTGGCTGCTTGGTGGGGATTTTAATTTACAGACAACCCTATTATTGTAAACTTAAACAAAATTAAAGTTGTAAAGCTTTTGGAGTGAATTGCACTCATTAACACCACCAGGTACCTTTAACCTATTATGGAAAATATAAGTGTATAATCATCTCACTCCAGTTCTTCATCCCACCAAATGTTTTTATTTTTATTTTGTGTCCGTCTATGTTATTGGCTGTTTTGTAAGGAAACTGCCTAAATCCTAGTCTTGTTACTGTCAAACAGACCTTTTGCTTGATGCATCATAATTTAATTGATCAGCAAAGGGTTCTGGGCCCAGAAACAATCTCACTAGGAATCAAACCATAGCGACCTTCATATTTGAATGCAAGCCCCATAAACTAAACTACCTATTCAATTAATACCACCATCATTAGACCTAAGTCAAAAATACCCATAGAAGTGTGACCATAAAAAAATTTTGAACAGAATATGTCATAGAAATATGCTATGAGATATTACTGTCTGCTTGAGCACATTGTGTTGGGCAGCTGCTTTTCTACTTATCACCTGAAGAGTCCTTTAATGTAAACTGTGTTAAATAGTCGTTACTCGTTTGGTCTAGATATCTTCACTTTATTCAATTGTAAATCAACTTTTCAGATCGAAATACCAAACTGCTCTACTGGCATTGGAAATATGCAATTGCTTTATCGTGTCAACCACAGTTAACTACACATTTCTAACAGTTTTGAGCATCGCCTCGATGTCCTACAACCAAATCAACCAAAGATTATCAAAATTGTCAAATGGGAAGTTGGAAAAAGATGTGAAAAGTGAAAAAATAGAAAATCTGCGGAGGAAACATTGGAAAACTGGCAACTTGCTTGTTCAAGTTTCCCGTGCATTTTCTTTTAACGTTTTTCTATTCTGCAGCACAACCTTCGTTAAAATGACTTTCCTTGTGTACCTCCTGTGTGTGACCCCTGAAATCTGGAGCTCCAAGTTTGCTGAAAATCCTAAAACTTTCATCGCTTTACAACTGACACTTTACTCTATTTGTGGTTTATTGATTGATTTTGTCATTCTGTGCTCTGCTTGTCAGCAAATACTTGATGAGGTTGGTTTTTAAAGTATAATTTACTTAGACTATACTACTTTTGCTACATTTTAGATTAAAATGTAGAGAGAAGTAGTCATTCCACACTCTTGTTTAAATTGTAGCCAATTCTGGAATGAAAATTAACACAGCTAAATTGAGCCTTCGACAGGAAATTAAATTTACTGTAGCACACTCTGTTATGTTCTATTTGAATGAAAAATTGGCTACATACGTTCTATATAGATGTGAACAATTTGATATACAAGAACACTAGCTCATAAAGATCTTTAGGACAAAAGAGCTAGGCAAACAATTTTATATTTTTCAAATGCTTGTCCTCTAGTGTTAAAAACCACAGAGAAGTAGAGAAGTGTGCTTTCGGCTCTTGTAACTTGTATGCGTACATTAGCACTAAGGCTCACAACAACATAGTGAGGGCAAGTAAGAGCTTTAGTGGTGATCATTGTGCTACAAGGTCTTTGTCCAGCATGAGGTTGTAGTACGATGGCAAGGGGGGAAAGGAGTGCTAAAGGGGTTAGGAGAAGCGATCCAACAGTGGTGGTAGGGGCTAGACACCAGCGACTGGGGTTGGACACCAAAACTATTTGTAGACACCAGTGACTAGAGCTTGGCCCCTGAAGTGCACACTGAATTATTCCTCCGTTTCTTATTTCTCTGTGCTAAAAACCCCAAAGAGTAAACATATTATAAAATCCGCCCTAAAATAAGAGAAAACTTTAATTTACTGGTCTTCAGTGTACTCAACCAATAGTAATCTTCAGTTTTGACAATAGAACTGTTGCTCAAGTCAAAGTCGGTGGTTTGATTTATATGGTACATTTGCTGGATAAACCAATGTAATGAAGAAAATTAATGTTTCTATTATATCCAACTAGCTGGCCTGACAAATTTCGTCCTAATGTGGTTTTATGTCAAATGCTCGTTCATTTTCAAGATGAGCTCGTTCGCATGGCTCAATCACGTCCTGATTAAAGTTCGTTCGCTGCGCTCACTCGGCTTCAGGTTAGCTTGTTCGCTTTGCTAGCCCACCTCTGGGTTGAAGTTCGTTTGCTATACGCTCACTCACCTTTTAGTTGCAACTTAGCTGTTGTCATAAAAAAAAAAAAATAATAGTGCTGCACCCTGTTGGTAAACCTATTAAATTTTTAATGCTATGGAACATCACAGAATCAAATTGCTTAGTTGAACCACCTGTTAAGATTCTTTAATTCCATTTAAATATGATTACTCATAAGGTTAACATGGGAATCCCAGAGCCACTGGGGCTGACCCCTTTTAAGGGATCTGCACCAAACTTCACACAAACCATCCTTGAATAATGCTTAAAAATACCTGAAAGTTTCATTACAATCTGTCAAGCGGTTTCGGAGTCCATAAAGGACAAACAAACATACATTGGATTTTATATATATAGATAATTTATTTTCAAACCACATTTCAGAACCATAATTTCTTGTGGTTGTTTAAAACAAGGTTTTAGGCGATTTCACATTACAAGATTGGATAAGGAGTTCCACAACTTTATTGATAGTTTAATTTTATGGAATGATTTTTTTATCGTAACAAACTGAAACATACCAGCCTATTTACTTTATAGGTTGATGATTGTATTTATTTTGCAGGGAAATAAAACGCCAGTGATTTTATACCGTATTTTGAGGAAAAGGTCTGATACTTCAGAAAACAGCACAATCCTAGAAGTAGGTATCTTATCTTACTAATATTATAAATCTGAAAGTTTGTGAGTTTGTGTGTATGTTTGTGTGTGTGTTGCTCAATCACGCATAAACTACTGGACGGATTGGGCTGAAATTTGGCATGCTGATAGCTCACATTCCCGATTAACATTAAAGCATATTATTATCTCAAAAACCCTTTCGGGCTCCGCCCCAGTGGCTCTGTAGTTCCCCATGTTAATCTTATAATTTTTCATATTTAAAAGGAATTAATGAATCTTAACAGCTGTCTCAATTAAACAAGTTGGTTCTGTTCTATGATGTTCAACAGCATAAAAGTTACAAGGATTACCAACAGGGTGCAGCACTATTAATTTAAGGATATCACAAGAGACAGAGTATTCAAAAATTCTGTTTAGTTACCTAGGTGATTATAATCCTTACCTTAACATGTGAAGGTTGCTGATTTGATTCGTTTCCAAGCATAGCAAATGATTGCTTAGCCAGATCAGTGTTGAAGATACCGTAACATCAAATCAAGGTTAAATTTATTACAAATATTTATCAAGTTTTGCATTATTTAAGCATCTTGTATTTAAATTATCAAGTTTAAGATTTTGTTCTGTTACAGATTCGTAAGTTTCTGGTCAACATCAGATCCAGGAACATTACGTTGAATGGTTGGGACTTTTTCTACGTTTCCAAAGCCATATTTTACGGAGTAAGCATACAATATAAACTGATTATTTACTTAATCCATTCACAAAGAAGAAATTAAAAATACTCATTTATTGGAAATTCAGGAGTAATGTAGTTTATATTGTTTAACAATATAACTATATATATTAATGAGTAATATGGATCAAAATTATGATTAATATAAAATCAATATTATAAGCCAAATGACAAACCAACAGATATTCGTGATTCAAGTCTCAATACGTAGTTTGAATTGAGTACGTAGTATATTTATCTCAGAACTAGTAGATCGAACTTGTACCCTTTGCTTCACAAGAGTGTGCAAAGTTCAAACCTAGTAGATTAATTCTTTAAATCTAAGTGTAAAAACAATGGCAGAAATTTAATATATAACTCCATGTTAAATCAATAGATAATCAAATGCTCCTATGATTATCGAGAACAGAGTAGGTAGTCATAGATTGATAGGGTTTTACGGTTTCCCAAAGAATTCATACTACATTGATTATCTTGGTCATAGTAATGGAACATCTTTTAGTTTTTATGAAAACCGATGATGCATAATATACATTTTGTCTGTTTCAGGTGGTTTCACAGATTGTTTCTTATATAATTTTGCTAATTCAGTTCAAAATATTTCAGTAGTTGTAGATTTACAAGAAAACTAAACTAGTGACGATTTATGTACCAAAAATAATCTGTTGTATCTAATATATAAAATTCTCGAGTCACAGTGTTTGTCTGCAAACTCCTCCGGAACGACTTCACCAATCGTAATGAAATTTGGTGTGTAAATTCTGTAGGTATGCGAATCGGACGTAAACTATTTCCCGTTTCGAAATTCTTAAAAGGGCTCCGCCACAGTGGCTCTGGAGTTTCCCATGTTAACCTTATGAGAAATGGAATTAATGAATCTTAACAGCTGTTTCAATTAAACAAGTTGGTTCTGTTCTATGATGTTCCAGTTACAAGGATTACCAACAGGGTGCAGCACTATTATTTCTTTTAATTTGCAACCAAAAGGTGAGTGAGCGTAGCGAACGAACTTCAATTTGGAGGCGAGTGAGCGTAGCGAACGAGCTAACCTGGAGGCGAGTTAGCGTAGCGAACGAGCTCCAACCTAAAGGCAAGTGAGCGCAGCGAACGAGCTCCAACCCAAAGGTGAGTGAGCGTAGCGAACGAACTTCAACCAGGACGTGATTGAGCAATGCGAACGAGATCATCTTGAAAATTAAACGTAACGGTACTTTCTTTCCATCGGTCTGTCTTAGGGGAAACCTATAACTTAGGCGATACAAAGTTCGCCGGGTCAGCTAGTTTTTTTATAACATCATTCGTGAAATATTTGTATTATTCTACTCTTATAATTTGAAAGCTAATAACAATTATAAATGATAAACTATAAATTGTATAATAGTTACAACTTTAAAAATAGTTAGCAATATATTTGTAAGGTAGTCCACGAAAACAAGTGGGTAGCTTGTTGAAGAAAATATGTTGGATGTAAAAATGGATATTTAAAGTTTTTGAAAGTCTGATTTGAGGTGTGACTAGGTTGTTTTTGTGCCTCGTGTTGTATGGATGAGAATAGCTAGAAAATTTTAAGGGGTTGTTTTTTTTTTTTTAATTAAATTATAAAGAATGTTCATAGATGGCAGTGTAAGCAAATTTAAATTGGAAAAGTGATCCCTACAGGATTCATGATCTTGCAATCCTAGCATGGCTCTAAGAGCTTTCTTTTGCCAAACAAATGCTTTCTGAGCCAAATGTGAACCACCCCAGAGACGCAAACCATAAAGCAGCTGTAAGTGAAACAAACCGTAGTAAGTCATTACCAAAGTGTTAAAACTCACACATGATTTAAGTTTTCTCAAGAGACAGGTTATTCTAGCCAATCTTTTACAAAGTTGTGTAATGTGGTTATCCCAGCTTAGTCTGTTGTCAAGATGGATGCCTAAGATGTTTGTGACCTTTATGTAGATTGAGGAGGGTTATGTTTGGTTTTAAAGTGAGGTTGTATACGTTTTGTAAAATATTGCTTAAAGTTTAATTTTTTTATTGATATAGTAAGCTACATGTGAGGGGGCTTGACTAAAATTGAAGAATTATAGTAAAACATCTCATTCATGAAGCATCAATATGAAGCAATTGATGCTATTGCTACACTAAGGTATGTTGTCATATTCTTATGGATCTATTAACATCAAAAGTAGGGGTTTGAAAGTAAGTAGGTTTACACTTTTAAATCAGTTTATATATTTTCAAACTAAATCATATTCGAAATTATATTATATATTCGAACAGAGGGTGTTTTTGGCCTCTGGGGACCTCAAAACGAAAAAGTATATCACTCCTTGGTCCAGGTCTTACCATGAGTACTACGGTAATAGCTTATTCTCCCTATATGGGAAATTTGCTAATAAACATTGCATAAACTTTATATAAACCGAATAACAATAATAATAACATTCAAGATATTTTATAAACTTAATAACTCTAAATAGGTAAATTACAAAAAAGTGTGATCCTGTATCAACTAACAGTGGGTCTTCAATAATTAATTTAAACCTGATCATAGTATGACTGAAAATGACAAGGTCATGCCACAACACTGACCACATATTTTACTTTCTACCAGAAATTCAATACAATAGTTGTGTATTCATGCTCTAAAACAACTTTAGAACAGACACTATTTGACGTCCCGGTAATACAAAGTTCTTCATTTGGTGTGATGGATTCTGCGATGGACATAACTTTTCTGCATTCTGTTTTGCCATTGCCAATCTCCCATACCTCTTGAAAGCGTTGATCATTGTATCCATGCAACAAAATAAATCTTCCAGCCAACATTTCAGTAAAAAGAAGTTGAAAATCGACCCTCAATAGGCAACTGGTTACTAAATTGACAGGATTTACAAGGTATATTTCTTGCTCGGTAGTTATCAGTAGGTTACTGCCTAGGGGATGAACAGTGGTTTCAGGACATGTTTTTATATAATCAGGTAGTAAAGATGTGCTTGGTCCAGTTTTATACTGGTTCATTGCATCATGATGATGTACTATCTCGAGGGGATGATAGTCATCTATGACACTCAAATGGCCATCAAAATACAACACACGTGAATCATGCATATAAGAATCGTGAACAAACCGACTGGGCAGGATAAACTGTAACAGTGAAGTATCATAAATAATTGAGCAACACTTTCCCACATCATTTCCTATGTTAGCGACATGTTTTAAACAGTAGGTTACGAGGACCTTTTCAGTGACTTGCTGAGTAGACTGTAAAGTTATACTTTCTATTGGTCCGATTTCGTATCTGTCTTCTTTAACCTTTTTCCCCGTATTGACGTCCCAAATGTGCAAGATAGCAGATTCCCCATGTTCATAGGTTCCAATCATGTATTGCCCACTAAAAACAAACTTACAATGAAACTCAACCTCTGGAAATTCACTAATTGTTGAGACCACGATACTTTCAATATCACAATCAGCTGTTAAACTACGAGAGAACTCTTCCGGTTTATCAAAAAAGAAGAGATGTTTCCGAACCCAGCTTTTGGAATCCAAGCTGATTTTGTTAACTTGTACTACATTACACTGAATGACAACTATCAGATCGCTATTGACTATTTTATAAATTTTAGCTTTCCGCAATCCACTCAAACAGTGGGGTATCGTCAATACTAGGACTGGAGTCTCAGCTAAATTCCAAACTCGAGTCTCATATGTTCGACCTTCATCATGGGTATATCTGTTTTCACATATATGGTCATTGTCCAAAAATAATACATAAGGAAACAGAAAGCGGCAGCGCTCATCTTCATGTTCAATTACTTCCTTCCTGAAGCGACCACATCTAACATTTTGAAATAAGTGTCGCTCTTGCAAGAACTGAAGCCGGTTTTCTTCAATGGGCATAAGTGTGTCGTTTGTTAGTTGAAAAGCAGGTTCAACAAGGCACTTAGTTTTTGAAAAATAGTGATTTGAGCTAGTTATACAATGTCTTTTCCAAAATAAATTATCACTAAAAATACTGTACCATATTCTACAAACGCCCATGCAATTGCTTAAATCTTTTTCAGAGAGAAAAGGAACAAGTGCATCTAGAACTAATAGGGGCAAATGCTCAATGTCCAGTGCTTTCCCCATGTCATGGAATCTGTAATAGGAAACAAGTGTTAATTAAAAAATACTAACAATATATTTACTCACACATAACGAGCCATCAAGTTGACCCTTAGAGAAATCTCAATAGGCCTAAATGTTAAGAATTTATCCTGGACCTAGTTGCCATTTTTCATCATATATTTTAAAGCTATTGTTGATTTCTAGACTTACGAGACTACGACAGACATTCAATTATTGTACAAAAAACACATGACCTACTCATGATGTGAGCCCTGATGATCATGAATAGCCAGCTGAAGGACGGTTGTTGAGCCTACTCTTTTTATATATTTTATGTCATTATTATTGTTGTTGTAACTCGTTAGCGCATTTGCTGTTTTTTTTTTTTTTTTTAAACAGTTGCAAATAAAAATCTTTAACATTATTTTGTTTTCTAGCTTAGTTTGTTAATTACTGATGCAATATGAAAAGTATATAGTTCACCACATGGACAAATAGTATATTTCATAATAAGAGTAGAAAGTGAGTCATTACATATCTGAGACCATGTTTGAAGTTCGAGATTTATCGAGCACTTTAATTGGTCAAGAATATGTATGGACCCACTTTCACTTGTGTTTTGAACATTACTTTTCGCTACACTTCAAAGAATAATTATTTTCTTCATTACAAAACTCATAGCATTTTTTTAGGTTATGCCGTTATGCCTTCAATTAAAAGTTAATATTTACTTTAGTTCAGTGGCGTTGCTTGGTTAAATTCCAGGGGGGGGGAGAAGCCTCAAATTTCCCAACTGCATAACATAGATTTCCCAACTATTTTTCTTTTTAGAAATCAATTTCTGTACTATTTTTAAAAATCTACAAATTAGTATACTACACTGCAGTAACATTCAATTCAGTATTTATAAACTTGCATTAACAAAACATAGCTAGTTTTACATATATACAAAATTACTCAATTTCTAAAACTTCTACCAATTCATAATGAAATTTTATGACTTCAAAAAACTTGAACAAGTAATGTTTCAAATCCAAAAAACTTTGCAAACCATTGTGGTAGCAGACGTAGCAGTGTAAAATTTTAGGGATATAAAATAAGCCTCAGAGTACAAATTAGTATAGAAAAAATATTGTATGAAAAAATAATGAAATTAAAATACTTTTAGAAGTTAAGATCAACATTTTAACTTTCATAAAACTTACAACTAGGGTAGGCCTAAACAAGTTTGTAATGATGAAATATTAATATCAGTGTTGTGAATAATATTATTCTAGTCTATAGAAAAGAATAAACCTAAAATAAGACTCGTATAAAATAAAAACGTTCAACTTGGTTGATAATAAACTTATACATACAATAAAAATGTTAACCTTCATCTCCATCAAACTAGAACTAGAATCAAAAATAGATCCTTAGGTCTATTTATTTCCAAAATTTAATGACACGATTTTGATAATACAATACAACATCTCGAACCCCTATTTACTGGTATGGTAAAAAAGTGAACTTGAAGGTTGAAATTGTCGCCTATTGTGGCCACCCTCAGCGA